CTCTATGATGAATGCTATTGTTTTCTACACATACACATACCTGCTCTATGATGAATGCTATTGTTTTCTACACATACACATACCTGCTCTATGATGAATGCTCCTGTTTTCTACACATACACATACCTGCTCTATGATGAATGCTATTGTCTACACATACACATACCTGCTCTATGAAGAATGCTATTGTTTTCTACACATACACATACCTGCTCTATGATGAATGCTATTGTCTACACATACCTGCTCTATGATGAATGCTATTGTTTCCAAAATTAATTGTACATCTTCACTTTCTAATCCAAGAGCAGTCTGTAATTTCTCTTCCTCATCTTCTGAAAATGACCTTTCATCCTGAAAAACATATTATAACAAAATTGAAAGCCTCTATATCATCTATGTACGTTCTATTAGGTTACCTCTTACCTTGTTTTACACACCTTAAAGAGTAACTCATTTGAAATATGGGAGGGCAGGTGAAAACAAAATTTGATGTAGACTGAAATCAGGGAAAAAATTTCCACAGGCTCCATACTAAGAAAAAAAATTGCTCTCAACAGAAGTTCAAAAAAACGGACTAAAATCTTATTTGAGAAAAAATACCTGCCCAAGTTGTGGGAAAAAATATTCAACTGACCAATTCCTTCCATCTCCACCCCCAGATGTCAAATGGGTCATCCCTAAACAGAGAGATGCACAAGCCAGGTCTAATTAGCTCCATTGTAACATGGGTGAGCAGTGTCCATCATCACGGTCTAAAAAAGCATACAAGTATTGAATTATTGTTATCAATCTTACCCTTAAGTGCAATTTTTGGAGAATTCTAGTGAGTATTCTTGAAAACTTGGTAGCATCTAATTCATTGATGAGAGCAAAGGCTTTTTTAATCCTAAAAAAAGGAAAGCTGGTTATACTTTGTGATCACATGCTAGTATATACAGGGGATCATGTGGTGTATTCGCACATCCCCTCTCCTCCCCAATACACTAACATACAATTATGTATGTCTACCGTTGTACTTCCGTATTAAAGTCAGAATGAAAACAGGACGTCCCTGATCACAGACTACTCGGGTTTGACCTGTTATATACTCGACTACCTTCACAATTACTTTGATATACCTTTCTATTTACAAATGTGTGGTGGGTATAATGCATATATATATTGAGTCGACTACAACATTAATACAAACCCCGAATACAGACCTATTGGTCGCTTGAAACATCAGCGCCATCTTGGAGTGTGTGTAACAGATCTGCGCTTGCGCACCACTAGGTGGGCGGAGACCTCGATCAGGATGTACGTTCCACATCGTCTGTACAGGAGTTCACAAGCCCCTCTGTATAGGACGACGTTCTCCGTCTGACAAATACTGTAAAATACTTTATTTTCGCTTGGAATTAATTTTCGCTATTTTCGCTATAGTGAAAGTAAAATCCAGCAAATATACCTTTTTTTCCTATATTTCACATTCAACTCGTCAAAAATCAGTTAAAATAAATTCCACTGGCACACAAAACACCCAAAAAGTCTTTTTATCGAAAATTAATTCCAGCTAAAACAAAGTATTTTACAGTAGATTGGCCCAGCCGTGGTAATGTTATTGTTTTATATGATACTAATAATTTATAAACACGAGATATTCTACAAATTTGTTCATACAAATCAATAACGGTTCTTGTATCAACAAACAAAATATCACATTTTAGTAAAACTATGAATTGTAGCATGCATGTAGCAAAATACATGTATCTGAAAAAACACACTATAAGATATTAACTTGAATGAAGAGTGGATAGAGCGTAGAGGGAAAAAGTACTCTGTAATGTAATACTCTATCCTTTCAAAATTCTGACGGAACAGTATAATAAAGTTTTATTATTCTAATAACATTGTGACGACTGGGCAAGTCTACCTGACAAGCAAAGTTTATTACCCTGTGCCTTTGGGTACGTTCTTCGATGATATACGACAGGTTTATTTTTATTATGAAAAACATAACTTTTATGAATTTGTATTCGTACATTGATTTATTGTCTTTTTTTTTTGTTCACAACGCAGTCAACATCCAGTTCCAACGATTATTTGTTGTTTCCGAACGAACATCTTCCCATATAATTGCTATCAATCAGGACTTGGAACTATCTAGCTTTTGGGGGGAATTTGACAGATAAACAAACATATGTAGATAATATATATGTATAATATATCTACGGGAAAAGTATCTACATGGTAAAACATATATTTTTATTTGAATCTAACATGAACACATGACTGTTTCAACACCAGCAGATAGCCAAGTGTGCTTTTCAAATAAATATGTAACACACAAATACCATAAACATAACCATAACTGGCAGTGTATATTTACAACCAATCAGAGAAAAAGACATCCGTGTTTCGGCTTCACGATATAGGCCAGCAATTAATATAGATTTGAGAAAGGATTCGTCTTTCTAGGGAAAAGTTAGAGATAAAAAAGATGTATGGGGGGGGGAACAGAATCTAAGACACCTGTAGATCATCGTCACATATAAGGATAAACTTTCAAGTGTCTAAAAAATGCCTATCATCGTCTTTACAAATTCATGACTGTTAACTCTTAATGAATGGACACCGAATGTCACTTTTATTCTATGTATGCACGAAATAGAAGAATAAGAACAATGGGCGGTAATCCCCCCCCCCAAATATGGACGAAGTTATTTCGGTTCTTCGAAGACTGACAAGTCAATGTTTGCGTCAGGTTTACCTGTCACTGAAACAATAGTGTACATGCATATATACATAAATATGAACATATCAATTATATATTTTCGCACTACATGTATACAACCAAGATAACCCAAACACACGGCACACTTAATATTATTTTGTAGCAATTAATATAGAATTATATCATGTGTCAGATGCGTCGAGAGTTGGGACAATACAGAAAGCAACAACAGCTAAAAGGTAGTGTAATTAGCATTTGTAATTAAAAAAACATAAAAAACAATTTCGAATGGATACAGCAATAAATTCATACATATTCCATCATGCATCCCTTAACACATTGTGAATAATAAAGGCCGAGTCGTTTTCAACTGTACTTGAAATTTATAAAATATGTTATATATCGGTATACAAAAACTGTAATACTCCAAAGTTTACAAATATGTTTGTTAGATCTTACCCATGATGCCTGGTAATCATTTCCTTTTGTGGCAATAGGGTGAAGGACTCACTGTACTTAGTAATTTCTCAGGGTGATAACCATTGTACTACCACATAGCAAAGACTCAAACTCACAACCCTAGGATTGCAATGTCAGGGTACCATCTGGTTAAAATAAGATCCTACTTTTTGACTCCCATGTGCGAAGCACAAAATGGGAGTCTTTGCAGTTAGTGTGTCTGTATGTGTGTGTGTGTGTGTGTATGTGTGTATGTGTGTCCGACTCTTCCACTGCTATCTCAAGAACCATACATCGGTTTTTGATGAAACTTGGTGCATAGATGCTCTGGGCCAATGCGCAGATTTGATTAGGTTTTGGTAAAAATCCATGCTCGTTAATTACCTAATTTGCATGATAATTAGCTAATTTTTAGCTGTTCTATGACTGTTTCACTGATATCTAAAGAACCACTTATTGGATTTTGATGAAACTTGGTACATAGATGCTCTGAACATATGCGCAGATTTGATAAGTTTTTGGTAAAAATCCGTGCATATTAATTACCTAATTTGCATG